GCCGCGCTCGCTGCTCCAGCCAAGCGGTGCAGGGGCCCCGTGGTGCTCCTGCTGCGGGAGGTTCCTGCTACCACAAAACCCAATCCCCTCCTCTGAGACGGCAGCCTGCAGTTCTAGCAGCACCCTTTGCACGTCAGTTCCTCGGTGTTCCCTTTGGCTCTTCCTGAAATGGTCCCTTCCGTTAGCCCAGGCCCCGCGCCCTGTGAGGTGGGAGAGGAGAGCCTGGCCCCGCGGGGACACGGGGACACCGGAGCAGAGCACTTCTGGGTCTCCCTGGGGACAGCAGGGCACGGGCTCCCTGGTGGTGTCACTGGTGATGTACAACACAGCAATGGCCCTTGGTCAGAAGCGGGACAGGGGAACTGAGTGGTGGCTGTGGGCACGAGTTCTGTGTTCCCGCTGAAGGGAGAGCAACTGCCTGTCTGTCTGTCTGTCTGTCCATCCCTGCCCCAGCCAGTGCCTGCAGCTGCTGGAGCCTCCAGGTATCCCTGGTCCTTCTCAGTACCTCCTGCTCTCTCCTGGTACCTCCCAGTCCCTCCCAGTTGAAGGGCTGGCTGTGTCACATGGTGCCTGTTGATGGAGATGTGCTAATTTATACCTGTGGAGGATGCAGCTGAGACTGAATTAGAACAAAGCACCTTGTTAATACAGAGGTGTAATTACAGGAGGAGAGGTACAAGCCTCCTGTTGAAAGTTTTCTCTGTGGTCTTGATGATAATCCTGTATGCACAGAGTGTGTTTGGCTGAGAAAAAGTGCAGGTTTGGTTTTCAAAACCACACAGGAAAGAAAGTCTGGTTTGCCAGCAAGACATCACATTAACATTTTAAAGTGCCTTCCCCCCCAACTCCTTAAATTAAATAATTTTTCTTTAAATGCTAATGACTGTGCAGCAAGTTGTGCATTTCTTGATCTCAAGTAAACCTTGTAATGGTTATCCAGATCCTTTGTGTGCTACCCAGTGTGACTCACGGGGCCATAAATGATTCATGGGGCTGAGTCACTGCCCGCTGTTGAGAATATGCAGGGAAATAAAACCTGGGACAATAACATGGAAGTGCTTAATACTTTGAACTGTGCCAAGCTCGAGAGTGGCTGAGGATGTCATTAACTGTACATAAATCAATCGTGAAGTGTTTTATTCATTTAGCTTGTGCCTAGGAGAGTTGCAGTTGGAGGGCTGCACATACTCCTCAGCCTGCCTCGGTTTTCCCGTTACAGTGGTTCTGTGTGTGGTTGGCATTTGCAGCTGTGGTGACCATGGTGGCTCTGTCTGGCATCTCCCTTTTCCCACAGCCCTCCACAGAAAGGGAGCTGCATGTTTGCTCTGTCAGGTCACATTTTACCAGTTTTTCCTCTCGTCTGGCATTGCCTGTCCCTGAGCTCTTCTGCTCCTGCTCCGAGGCGGGTGGGCTCTGCAGGGGCAGAGCCTCGCAGCAGTGGTGGCAGAGCTTGTTCATGGGGAACTGAATTAATAAGGGCCTCTGCTCATTGCTGCTACTGAGCAGAACCCCCAGCAAAATGCTCTCTCTTTGAAGGCTGGCAAGTGTTTGAAAGTCTGGCTTTGTTCAGCAGATTCAGTGTGTCCCCTCCTTTTTCCCCTTTTCCTTTCCTGTACGTCCACCTTTGAATGAACAAAATGAGCAGAAAACTTAAGGTACAGACAGACCCTCCTTCAGGTCCTCCGTGTCTGTAACTGGTGCTTCAGCCCCTTTCATGTGACAACAAACCACTTTTCAAGGCCTCTCGGGCTCGCTTTGTTGCCTGCCAGTGAAACCTGGATTTTATGTAGCAATGGAGATAGATTCAGGGCCAGGCTCATGTGCCTGAAGCTGATTAGATGGGATCCTGTAAACCCCAGGAATGTGGGTCTTCTTCCTGGGGTATTTGGTCCCTGGTGAACAAAGAAAGCACTGGAGCCTGGAGCAGAAGCTGGTGCCTCCCAAGGGGATTACACTGAATCCCTAAAATAAAATGCACAGCCTCTGCAGAATCGGGACAGCCGAGCAGGGATGTTGTCACCTGAAGCCTTTGTATTTTCAGGTAAATTGTCATAGTTGCAGATGCTATATTGGAAAACCAGCAAAGAGCTGAGTTTCGCTTTCCTTCTCAGCTCATAATTTCTTTGTATGCTTTATAAATACTTTTCATTCTGGGCTGTCACTTTTGGTTAGTAAAAAGCGATTTAACAAATGCTCCCCTGGAATGTGTTTTAATGCATTTTATGCAGAATGACATTAATGACTTGACTTGTTAATATTTTATTTAATGGATTTAGGAGCACATTGAATTTTACATGAGTACATGTCGATGCAGGGTAGGGAATGCTGGTGTGTCTTGGGGAGGCCAAGGCCAATGTGATAGAGACAGAGCATGGCATTTCCTGGCAGACTGATCCTGCTGGGAACACCTTCCCATGGGAGCAAACACCTAGCTCCAGCTGCCTTGGGCTGGGTCTGCTTTGGCACACCAGTTCTATCCATGTTGGCAGCTTTGCTCATCTCCTGAGAGATCAAATACTATAATTCTGGTATTCTGAAGGGGATTGTTGCCTGTGGTTTCCCTCTGCAGTTTGTTCCCTTTCTCCATGTCCTGTTTGGTGTGGTTCATCGTACACTCAGAGCTTTCCCTGTACACATCCATCTTGGGATGTGGACTTCAGTGGTGAGGTCCTGCAGCCCTTCTTCTGCCCTGGGAATGATGATCCTGGGTGTGCAGTGTTGGGAGCTCCTGGTCCCTTCCCGACTGGCCCATCTGGCCCTGGAGATATTTCCTCCATCTGAAATGTGCCCGTGTGTCCCAGCAGATGTAGGGTTCTGCTGCCCTCATCAAATGGGCCCCTTCTGTGGCCACGTTTCCAGCTGCTGGGAAGGGCTGTGGTGGCAGAGCAGTGCTGAGTCCCTCCAGTGTGGGATGCAGGGAGGAGGGTCAGGATTCCCCCTCGTGCATCATCGCCAGCAGCACTGACAGCCTGGGGGAGCAAATCCGTGTCCCCAGTTAGGAGCTGTAATCGCTGGTGGCGTTTCCACCTACACAAGTAATTAAGATTCAATAAGGCTGCTGTTAATGTATGCTGTTAAATTAGCTGCTGAGCATTAGAACCTTATTACCTCAATTTAAAGTATTACCAGCTTCTTATGTCCCCAGTCCTGAGCTCTGCTGAGCAGCAGCCACAGTCCGAGGGCTTGGTCTGAGCCAACACACCACCCAGGTCAGCCCTGCCCTGCCTTTTCCATTCCCTCCCTGCCTATTCCATCCTTTCCCTGCCTTTTCCTGCCTTGGTACCTGGTTTCTGACTCCAGCTGGTTTTGTAAAGGCAGCTATGAAGAGGGGGTTTGACTGTGAAACCATTGCTGCCTTAATGGCTTTATAAATCAGCTCGGTAAGGACAGAATCTGTGAGCATTTTTGCCATTTGATTTTTGTCCTGTGCCAAGTCACAACACATAAAAATATTGATGACTATTTAAATATTTCTACATTGTTGCTTACTTGCTGTTTTCAAGTGCTCATCTGAATACTTCTGAAATATTTTTAAAATATTGTGTTAACTTTGTGTTGGACCAAATTCTAGGTGAGAGACACCTGAGGTGTTTGAGAAAGGTGGGACTGTTAATACAGCTGGTGTCTGAAGGTCAGAAAAAAGAAAAGTGATTTTTTGGGAGTCTGGAGGTACAGCTAGGGAATGGTGAGTGTGTGTACAGCCTGTACAGTTAATTACGGTGAACATAAACTGATCAAATTTGAGAATGCCATGCATTACTTGTTCTAAATGAATTGTTTTAACAATTTCTGCAAAGAAATAATGCTGTGGGAAGTCAGAAGGGACTATTACATGGTACATTAAAACTGCTCCTCGGGAGCTCAGCAGCCCATGTAAGGATTCCATGACTCTGGTGTTTAGAAGCTGAGCCCTTCAATTAAGCTTGAAACGCTCTGTTCACATCTTTACAGAAGTGAATCAGTGCAAAGCAGAAACCTGACCACAGAGACTCCGAAATTTGCAATTCCTTTTTTTTTTTTTTTTTTTCTTCCCTAGGAGGACAGAACAGAAATTACTTTAGTTGCTGTAATGCCAAGGTTATGTCAGTGATGCTAATGCAGTCCGTGATGCCAAGGGAATTATTAGGATGTTAAAATACAAAAGAGAGGAGGAGGGAAGAAAGCACTCTCTGACACTCTTCATGGTAAGGGAGACAACAGCATCAGGGTCTGGAAACACTTGAGGCTGTATTTGTGTGCTTAATTCGTGTCAGGTTTTGCCCTGTACACCAGGAGTAGCCCTCAGTTGCTGTCCCTCTCCGGGGTGTCCAGAGGGAAACAGGCGTTTAATGTACGTTCAGCTGCACTCTGTCCTTTCAGAGAAAACGTGTTAGATGAGGCAGAGAAGTGACTGTTCCTGTAAATCTGCTCTGAAACTGCTAAGAGAAATGGAGTTAAATTGCAGTTAAGCTGCTGTAAGGGTAAGAGGGCCTGGTTCTGCCCGGGACTCTGCCACACAGAGTCAAGGAGCTGGTTTTGTTGTAGCTGTTGTAGTTCCTAAGAGAAGCTTCTCATTTCTCCCACAAAAAAAACCCTGGATTTTGAACCCAGCTAGTGGCCATCCCCTGGCCCAGGTCACTTCCTTATGGAAGGAGAAAGAAATTTAGAAAAAGAAAAAATAGAAAGAAATTAACTGAATCTGATTTTGCAGCTTTTGCAAGTATGGAGGAACTTCCCAGCAGCATCATGTTCTTCTGTGGTAGCAAAAGTCATTGAGGGGTGTTTTGGGTGAAAACCCATCTAGAAGGGCAAAACAGAACACTAGTGAGTAAATAATTACTTGATCTGTCAAGTGCTAGGCAGGCTGATATCCTCTCCAGAAGGAGGGAGGGTTACACCAGGGCACTAAGAATAAATGCCTCAGGAGTGGACCAAACTGTGCATTTCCTCAGGAAATCTAACCTGACACAAATCAAAACTAATATCAGCCATTTTCAGCAGCCACTGGGCAGCACAGTCTCTTGGGAAGAGGCCTTTTCTCCTTCATCTCTAATCCTGATTGCTGCCTGTCTGCTGGGCTCCTATTTTTAGATTTTCAGCTTTTCAGAGGTGGAAAAGTCTTTATTTCCTGGTGCTGCTGAGACCTGAAAACACTCTCAGCCTTAAGTCATTAAATTATAATTCTGAGATGCAAACTGTTAAATGCGGAAGAAATAATTTTCCTGTTTAGCACAAAAAATAGTGTTGAAGATGGTGGGGCCATCTCAGGTGACTGTTTTTCTCATGATGTGCTGTACCTGTAACCCTGGACCTCCTCCTTAGTACTGACCTCCTTCCCCTTTCCCTCTGCCCCTCTCAGGACAATTCACTTTATTAGAAGTTCTGAAATAACAGTGGAAAGGATGTCTCAGAAGAAAAGCTGTAATAACTGTCCCAGCCTGAGTATCAGTCTGCAGTAAAAACCTGAACTTTGCTGGCAACATAAAAGCTGTTACAGTTTTTAAATGAACAATTTTTATTATATCTGTAAATCATCTCCTGTCTCTTGATTTTTTTTTTACATTCTGTGACAACCAGTGGGATACACTTTGGAGCCATTTCTGAAGGACACAGGGAATGGTGGCTCTTCTCTTTTCTCCTCTTCTTTTATCTTCTTCTATTCTCTTTTCTTCAATTCTCTTTTCTTCTTCTCTCTCTTCCCTTCTCTGTCCTTCCCTTCTCTTCCTACCCTGTGCCAGTCAGTTCTGGCCATTCCAAGCCCCCCAGTTCCCGTTGGTTCTTGGTGCCCTCACGTTCCTGGGCCAGTGAAGGTCTTGTCTGCAGTGGGTGGCTCAGGGCTGGGAGGTTTGATCTTCGCTGCAGCAGCAAAGACCTTCAGCTGGGTTGTTTTTCAGTGAATGTTGCCCAGAGTGTTTCTTTGCCTTTCCATATAAATTGCTTCCCAGCCCCTGGCTGAGATGTGTGTGACTCTGCTTCGTGCCTGGGGTTTTCCTGCCCCACAGGCTGTGCCCAGAGACAGGAGTTGGCAGAGCTGTCTGTTTGACCCCAGACTCTCTGAACAGGGACCCCAGGCTGCTCCTCAGGAGTTTGGGGGGGGTCTTTCCTGTGGGTCTGGTGGTCTCACTGGAGGGAGGAGCCCAGCAGGGACCATTGTCCCCATTTGGGTGGCTCTGGGTTGGTTCAGTGCTGCTGTCAGCAGATCGACCTGCATGGACACAACCCCATGGTTCTCTGAGCCCAGCAGCTGCCCACCCTGTTCGTCCCGTGGCTCTGCTGCCTTATGGCTCTGCAGTGCTCTGCAATTTACATAGCAATGACATAAAATGCAGTATATTTACTGGGAAAATCCCTGGTAACTGTGGCAGGCAAATAGCCGATGGAATGGAAAGTAGCAGAGGCAGTCGAGAGGTTTGTTGAAGGTTAAAAAACAAACAAAAGTCCCCAAGCCCCACAAAACAAAACCACCAGCAGAAGTTCCTCATAATGTTTGTACTGAGAACCTGCTGTGATGTTACTCCTCAGTCAGTTTTACCGAGTTGGCCAGGAGCAAGAAAAACAGTTTATGAACAGTTTTTTGTTCCTGTGTGTGCAAAGGGCTGTAAGGAGCAAAGCTCAGGCTGCCCCATGGGCAGGGGCTGCAGCAGGGGGGCAGGTGAGCTCCTGGCTTCCAGGCCACCTCAGGGTCCCAGCTGTGACCTTCAGAGGACAGAGTGAGGCACTGGCTCTTTGAGATCAGTATCTGTGTCCAGCAATGTAGACCCACTGCAGTGGGTAAATCAGAGTTCATCCCTCTGGAGAGGAGGAAAAAAAAAGGTTCCCAAGTGATCTGGTTCCTAAATGCACTAATGAGGAACTGCCCTGGATTGTGGTGACCTGGATTGTTGTTTATTCCCAGAGGAATAAATGGGGCCCCATGTACAGCCTGAGTGCAGAGATGCTCTGTGAGGAAGCCACAGGAGAGGGATGCTGGTGCTGCAGGGACTGTGGTCTCCAGGAGGGATTTGTCTTTGAACCCTGCTTGGTTCTGCTCAGTCTGTGCCTCTGTAAAATATTCCTTTAGATTTCAGTAATGCTTGAATACCCTGGCCTGGAAAAGTACATAGATGGGCTGCTGTAAAGCAAAGTGTCTAGGAAACTGGAAAAGAAATTTGACACCTGAGGACCTTCTTATTAATAAGAAATTTGCTGGGGGAAAAGGCTAATGATTTTTTTGTTTGGTTTTTTTTTTTTTTTCCAATTCATCAGCCATTTTCACTCATTTGTACATCCCAGCTACCATTTTGGTCCCGAACAGGCTGTAGCCCAAGCATGAAGGTGGTTTTCTTCCCTGTACTTGCCCTCAGCCTACACCAAAGTACCCAGGCAGCACTGAGGACAGGTTAACAATTAATGCCTGTGTTTTCTTCGCAGGCCTGAAGCGCAGCTACACGTGCAACATCTGCAACGTCACCCTGAACTCCATAGAGCAGTACCACGCACACCTGAAGGGCTCCAAACACCAGACCAAGTGGGTACCTTCCTGCCCCTCCCGGCACCTCCTGTCTGTGCCTGCCTAGATGTGACCTGTATCTGCTCTTCTCTTCCCCCATCCTGGCCAGGTCGAGGTTTGCTGTCCCTCCCCACTGGAACATATCAGAGGATACTGGGAGACCCAAATCTCTGCCCATCCTCTCTCCTCGAAGGGAGCAGGGTCTGCTGGTTTGGGCCAGATGAGGGAGAAATGGGCAGCAGTGACCCAAGACATTAATGTTTTCTGGGTCCTGATGCCACAAGCATTTGTGCTTAATGATTCCGAGTCTGCAGCTTCTTCCCTGTGTCAAACCTCCAAAGAGACACTGGGAGTGTAATGGGATTAGGTGTTTCCAAGTGAAAATGTTTATGCTGGGATTTAGAGCAGCTGGGTATTACCCAGCTTGGAGACTCGGGGGGGAGGCTGCTCTGTCAATTAATACAAATTATTAAAATGAAGTGATAAAGATACATGGTACCAGAGAGTAGACTAATGAACTAATATCTCTTAACACACTTACATGTGAGCTTTGGGAACTGTTTCAGACTGGAGCACTCAGGACTGCCCAGATTAGTGAAAGGATATAAAAGGTGTCATTTGTTACTGAAGTGCTTCAGGTAGCTTTATGGGCAGCCAGAGAGATGAGGCAGGATGATCAGAACCAGCAATAAGTACTAATGTCTAATTTTGCCTAGGCTACCAAAGGATAAGTGCAGACCTTCCCCAGCTGATGTTAGACCTTCAAATATTCCTGGTATGTTAGCTGTGTCCTATGTATCCATGTAGCACTTGAATGACTTCCAAACACAACCCAGTCTGGACCTGAGCATGTTGTCACGTTCAGGATCTCAATTAGCAGAAGGAGCTGATGGTGTGAGACTTCCTAATGAGGGGATGTTCTTCCTCCCCTCTTTGCAAAGGGGGGTAAAGTGGGAACCGGGGGGTGACAGGGAAGGACCAGGGTACAGCCAAACCCTGTCCTGGGCACATGGGGCAGTCGGAAGGGCTGGGGGTGTCATGGGGGTTCTGAAGCACAGGGATGAGACAAACAGCTCTGCACTGTTTGATTGTTGAGACTCAGTGGCATTTGCAGTTGTTCCTGAGCTTCTGGAGCTTGGAAGACACATTAATTATTGATATGAAGGCCCATTTCTCTTTCATCTCACTGAGGATCCAGCCAGGGATCACTGGAGCAGCACAGAGGCCTGCAGGACTCCCAGGGCTTTTTCTTAAGTGCCTTCCTCTTTTGCAGATTAATATTCCTACTGGTCTTTCTAAATTTAGTTTCTTATCATTTATTCCTAATGGCTTAAATCTGGTCCTAAGAGATTTCCATGGGCATTTGGTACAAAGAGGAAACAAAGTAATAAATTAAAAAAGAAAGTATGTTACAAATGTAATAATGGAATGCCAATTAGAGACATTCGTCTGACCAATTTCTATGGAAAATTGCTCTGATTATTCTATTTCCTCCATCCATTGTTCATTCTTATACAATTTTCTTTGAGGCTGAGTATTCAAGCACAGTGCAGATCTATCCAGTGCCAATAGGAAAGTGCAGAACCACAGAAGACAATGGATTGGCAGCTTGGCTTGGTGCACAACAAAAGCTCTTCCCACCCTGTAATTAGTATGTAACCAGATTTTATTCTCCTTGTTCAAAGCTGTTTTTGCAGCTTCACTGTCATCTATATGGGACTGAGGGAATGAGTTACCTATATTTTCCTGACTACAGAAGTTATCTGTAGTGCAGACAAAGATGAAGGAATCTTCATTCCTAGTGCTGTCAGTGAATACACTGTGAAAAGTTGTTCTACACCACGTCTTGGCTATTGTGTGAGTGAGTGGTGGCAGCTCAGCCCTGCTGCCACTGCCAGGGGATGTGCAGGACAGCAGAAACACGGCAGGTTTTGACAGAGCTGCCTAATGTTCCTGAAGCTTTGTACAAGCCATTCTCTCTTCTATACAGAGGAAGTTAATTTAGAAATCCAGAGCTGGTCCTTGTGCTTCACCCTGCACCGGGACACCGCGCCAAGGACGCTCAGCACGGGGTGGCCACAGAGCCAGGTCCCTCACTGCATGAAGTCAAATAATATTGGATATTAGGAAGCACTTCCTCACAGAGAAGGTGATTAGACATTGGAATGGACTTCCCAGGGAAGTGGTGGAGGCACCATCCCTGGATGTGTTCAAGGAAAGGCCGGACGTGGCACTTAGTGCCATGGTCTGGCCCAGGTGATGGTGTTGGTCATAGGCTGGACTTGATGATCTTAAAGGTCTTTTCCAGCCTTGGTGATTCTGTGATTTGTAGGGCCATGTCCCTCCTGCCCACCCTCCTGTGGGCCTGGGCTAGGGGCTTGCCCACTGTTTTTTGCTGTTCTCATTATTGGTGGTTACTGTCAAGACTGTCCTCTCCCTTATAACACAGTCTGAAGCCAGTGGATTGCAGTTGCCAAGGCAACAAAACATTTTGTGTAGCTGTCATACTTCATATAATGAAAAAAAAACAAAACCAAAACAAAAGAGGGAGGGGACTGTAAAGGGAAAGGGATTTTGCTCTGGGACAGGTTAGCAGGGAAGGTGATTGCAGGCTGGGAGCTGGTAGCACCCAAAAGAATACTGAGCAGTTGAGTCTGGTGAAAAGCTGCTTTAGGAAAGAAGAACTTTTATGAGGAATGAGTCAAGTTGTGGGTATTTATTATAGTTCTTGAGAGCTCTCCAGAGAGCATCACACAACCCAGGCACTGCGAGAACTGCTTTAAATAACCCGTGAAGCAGCCCTTGAGCTACAGCTCTGCAGGCCACGTGCCTTGGCCCTCCATCACCTCGCAGCTCCGGCCCCGCAGCCGCTGCTTCTCCGTGGGGGGGTCTGGTGGGGAGAGCTCACATCCTTCTTTACAGGGATTTCAAGGGTTTGCCTGATTGCTTCCCACTGGATTTGTTTGACCAAGAGGTGGGGAAAATGGCAGGCTGGGGGAGAGCTGAAAGTGTTTTGGATGGTATTTTGGTTTTGAATAAAAGATGAAGGAGGAGGTAGTTAATATTGAGCTAGTCCTTATCCCTCTGGCCGATGAATATGCAAAGCAAGATAATGTCTCCTACCTCTCAGTTTTTCTCCAGGGTGCAGGTACTTTGAACTATGTATTTGAAAATAAAAGGAAAAAATGCATCCTTTTTTTATCCTATCATAAAGTCAGGAATTTGGGCTAGAGTCAGACACAGGAGAATATTTCTTTTAAAGCCTCACAAATCTGGCATCCAGGCTGCTTACATCAGGGGTCGTGCAGTGTTCATGGGGGCTCTAAGGGAAATGTGCATTCCCATGGAGCTGCTTCCAAATGGCCCTGGAAAGCAGAGCTGCTGCCAGGGCTGCCAGCACGGGAGCAGGTTGTGGAATGTGGCTGGACGCTGGAACATCTGCAGCAGGGACAAGCACTAACCCTTTAATTAGGGATTTATGAACTGTGTGGAGATGATTGAGTCATTGTTTGACTTGATTTCCAGAAATAGAAGTGGGTTTTTTCAGTCTTCCCTCCTCCCCCAGCGAGCAGCAGGAGGAGGGAGGTGAAGGCAGGCGATGGTGCCGGTGGCTGCTCCGGCTGGACCGCGCTCGGCACCGGCCACTCTGTTTCTATGGGGACTGGTGGCAGCAGGAACACCAGCTGGTGAGGAGCTGCAGGGAGGAGGGCACGTTATCTGTGAAATACTGGGAGAGAATCACATGCCAGCCTTGCTCCTTGCTGCTTACGATAGGCTGAAAGGATCAAAACTTCCCCCTTCTGCAGTTTATGTAAACTGGGAAGATGAAGACTCGCTACTGGGAGTGATTTGCAACCAACAACAGAGAATTAAAGTCCTGGGTAGTTGTGAAAGAAGCCAGAGCAGATTCAGATCTGGGTCAGAGAATGCTTGTGCAGGAATATAAACTTAGGGCTTTGCAAAAAGCACTTCCCTCCTTTAATTAGCATGTGTGGGCAGTGGGGTTGGGGACAGGGCACTGTGACCATCCAGGAGAAAACAGCTGAGCTCGAGGAAGCTGCCCCAGGGGCAGCTCCTCTGGGGGTTGTGGATGACAGGCTGGAGGATGCTGTTGGCAGAGCACCAGAGCCCAGCCCCACGTTTGATGGGAGTGCCATCTCTGGGCCAGTTGCAGATCTATCAAACACTGTAATAACGTGCGGGTAGTGCGAGCTGGGATGCATCCTCTGCCATGCTGGCTGTCAGCAACTGGAGGCTGGGATCAGCCCTAGTAATTAGGAGTCTGACTATATGGGGATAATGATTTCCACTTCCATAAAGAAGAATTTTATCTTCTTGCCTTTATTTTGTCTCTTTGATCAGCCAGACCTCTCTGCCATATCTAGAGCTCACAAATGTATTCCGGGGTTTTATAACCACTCATTTACACATTCATAGATGCTAATGCATGTCTAGGTTTCCCTTTCAAAGTCACGCTTTCTGATTAATTTTAGGATTTTTGCAGAGAGGGGGCCCAATCCTGAAGCTATCACTGGGGTAAAATTGAGTCTATAGGAACCTAAAGGTACAGGAGGAACGCAATACTTGGTCAAAATGAGTGCCTGGGGGCTGAGAATGGTCATGTCCAGTTTGGAAGGTGCCCTCTGAGCATCTTCCTGCACAGCCCTTCACCTTCTCATGGGGTTGCACCCTGTGAAAGCCCAGATGATTAATGATAATGGCCTCTGAGGAGCAAATGGCAGCCTGTGAGGACTGGTGCTTGTGAGGGGGTTTTCAGGTTTTTTTTCAGACTGAGAACACAGATGTCTAATAGGAATGGGTTCTTTATTAACATAAGCTGCTTGGCTGTTCTGAAATCTGAGCTAATCAAAATATTGTAAATATCGTGCCTGGAGAAATGTCACCCTTCACCATGATTGCATTTCCATATTTTTTTCAATCTATTTAAGAAAGTGTAAACAAATAGTTACAGCCTGTTGTGTTTGAAACATGGTCCTGGTTGTGGTACCTGATGCAGGTAGTGGCCAGGGCAGCAGCCAGGGCAGCCACATCCTCAGCCACTGTTTGTGGCCGTCCCTGTGCTGGGGACTTTGGAATGTTGTGCCATGGCAAAAGGCAGGACTGCTGGACTAGAGGAAGGCTTTGGCAGTTCCTGGCCTGACTTCATTTGTGTCAGATTTTATGCAAAATATTGTTTCTGTTTCCCCTGCATTGCCCCAGTGCTGGGAGGGTGAGCTCCCCCCTGTGCGTCCTCACCCAGACTGAGTGCAGGCTTTGACAGAAGATTTCCAATAAATTTCAGATGCTCAGGTTGTACCACTTTACAACAAAGCTGAATTATTTTGTTCTTACTTTGCCTCCAACTTTTATTGGTAGCAGTAACATTTTCCACGTGCTTTCTATAATACATCATGTCTGATGCCTAAAATATAAAGAAGCCTTTAGAGTGATAATAACTCCAGAAGATGAATAGTTATAAAAGGTAGATGCAATTGAAAGGCATTTTAATTTGTCATTATTTCAGTTCCAGAGAGCAGCTGAATAATTACACCGCCTGTGAAAAGAGGGGGTGTAATACTTTTGCTCATTATAGGATTAAATTGTCTCCCTTCCTTTTAATGTAAAGGAAAATAAAGATATCTCTGATATCTTCTGGCTTGATCATAATTTGAAAGGCCCAGAATGGCTTTGTCTCATGGTGTCAAGTGTACAGATTAATTATTTTAATATGAAGCATAAACACTGGACTGATTTCTGAAAGCTTAAGCCTGACCTTGCCAGTGTTGCTGAATGAGAAATTCCTCGTGGGCCAGAAATGTGTTGGTCAAGAACCAGGCAGGTTCTGCAGGGTGTGCCAGGCTCCCAAACCAGCTGGCACTGAGGACCTAAGGAAAGTGCACTTTTTTCAAATTGCTACTGCAGTTTTCCGCCATAAAATACAGCATTGTCCTTAAAATTGCAGGGATGTTTTGGGTAGAAAGAGTTTGTTTGTGTCTGTTTCAGAAGTTTCCCCATTGCTCACGTGAAACATTTCTCTGGTTATTATGAGCAAAGTTGCAGTGAAGTTGCAGGAGGCTCCGGGGACTGCCTGGGCAAGGTGGGGACAGACACCTGGACAGAGCTCCAGAGGCTCCAGGACCCAGCTCTGGGCCAGGAGCAGTGGGACAGGGGGTGATTCCTGCTTCCTTTGTCTTGCAGCCTGAAGAACCAGTAGTTGCTCGTCAGCCAAGAAGGCAAAGCACCGAGGCTGCTTCTGCAGAGAGGAGCTGGCCAGCCAGGAGAGGATGCTTTCTTGGACTGCAATCCCCTGTGGATTTGATAATTAACATGTAACTAACCTGCGCTTTGGACAAATACATGGATTATTTTATTTAATTTTATTTTTTAATTTTGTGGTGAGTTAAAATATTTCAATGGATTTTTTTACCCTTTCAGGATAATATTTATTCAGCACAGAGTCTAGAGTATGATAACTATCCTGTAAATACAGCACTTAATCATCACTCATCTTCAGAGACAGTGGAAACAAAATATTTTACTTTTTCATATTTATTCTTAGATTTCTCCCCAGAGTATAAAATTATTCTATTACGTTATCCATGACAGTGATGTAACCAGTCTTCAACCAGAAATAAACATACTTTCTTCACCTTCTCCAGCATGGTTTGTGTCAGCACATAAAGAGCAGCAAAAAATGAATCACAGGGATTGTGTAATGGATGAATATTTTCCTTTTCCTCTTTGTCTTCAGAGAAACAGAAGTTCACTGAGCAAAGAAAACTAAAATGAGAGTGTTAAAACCTTTTCCTGCTGGTAGGATTCCTGCAGGTGAGGGGGAAGCCCTTGGCTTTAAGTGGTGTGTGGAGGCTGGGTCAGGACACCGAGGCTGACAGTCCCTGAGCAGCTTGAGCTGTGTGGCTGTGCCAGGCTGGGAGCTGTGGGATAACGATGGAACCAGACTGGGACAGGACCTCGGGATGACAGTGGAACCAGACTGGGACAGGACCTCGGGATGACAGTGGAACCAGACTGACTGGGACAGGACCTCGGGATGACAATGGCATCGTGCTGGGCTGGGAGCTGCGGGATGATGGTGGCACCAGGCTGGACCAGGAGCTGCAGGATCACGAAGACACCAAGTTGGGCCAGAAGCCATGGGAGGGAAGTAGCAGCCCCTCCACTAGCTCCCAGCACCCAGGACACCCTCGCTCCACGGCCAGGGATGGGGGCTTGAGAAGTCCTTGCTCACAGGGAGGAAAAAACTAAAAGAGGGAGAAGAATTGATGGAAACACAGCCTGGACTGTCCCAGAGGAACAGCGTTTGTGCAGGGCTCAGCCAGGTTCCTGTCTGCAGCACACTGGTGCTCATCTGTGGGAAAGGGGTTCATTGCTCCCTGGTTTTGGAGGGTGGTGGAAGCTCACAAGGATTTTGGTTTTCTCTACTGCAGTCAGCACAAAGACCAGGTTTCTTACCTGACCCTCTGCAATGCAAAGAGCTGCAATGAACATGGGCCAGCTTCATGTAGGTACCATGAGTGATGCAAAACACGCCTGGTGGCTCCAGGGATTGGTGAGTGCAGTTTGCATGCAGAGAGCCTGATAGAGATTAAGCACCACCTTTTTAAAGAGCAATTTTGTTGTTTTATGTATATGCAGTAGCACAATTCTTCTAAGACTGTGGCCATTTCCCTGCTTTTGCATCTCTGAAATAACAGGCTTTGACATTTCCTTTCTGTGCACTCTTGGCTAGAGACTTGCTTGTGTCTTTGGAAGTGAGCAGTGACCTATATGGATCCACCAGGAATCCTAGAAAGGTGCAAATCCACTTCTCCAGCATCTCCAGGAAGAGCAGTGACCTGCTGCTACTGGCTCTGCATAGAGGAAGGTTTTAATTTAATCCACAGCTCACCACCATGGCCTACAGGTTTGTGAATTTTCTGCCAAGTGGACAAGTTGTACATAGATGATTAATCCGTGTCCTCCATCCACTTCTCTGCACTGAAATAAACCAAAGCAAAGTGTGTTGCTCTCCATTTTGGTGTGGAGTAGTGCTGTGTGTTTCAGATGAGGGATGTTTGAGCAAGTCCCTTGGAAAAAAGCAGTTATGGTGCAAATGTAATGTTATATATTTATAGAATTATTACTGATTGTTTATTTGTGACATGGCAGCCCATGAGAGAGCAAGCTCAGTAGCAGAGGATGCTGTAGGCACTGCTTGGCCACCTGGGGGGAAGCAGCACCCAGAGATTTGTACAGCAGAGCTGGCCTGGTGTGTGCAACCATAAACCTGTGCTGAACCATATTTAAGGGAAAGGGAATTTTTAAAATCATTCAGTCACAAGGCAGCATGTGCTAAGCAGTAACTGTCCTGGAGCTGGTGCTGGTGCCTGTAGGACTTGTCACTACAAGCAATTTGACTTGTAACTGAGCCTGGGGGATGAAGCAGGAGCAGATGTTTCATGGAGGGGACCTTGTGATGCCAGAGGAAGAAAAATACTCTTAATCTGCTGCTGACAGGGTTCTGTTTTTCATATCTTCTCCTACCATGGGAAGAAGTTCACCTTCAGAGGGTTGGGTGCAGGAGCTGCAGGGTGTTCCTGCTGCAGCTCCCGACAGGCACCGCAGGCAGCAGAGCATGGAGCTCTTGGCTTTGCTTCACAACCATAATGTAATGTTACTTGCTCTTAATTACCCTCTACTTTGGGGCTCTTGAGATCCCTCACTGCTTGGGTCACCCTTGTAATGAAAACAAACCTATTTTTGTTGGTGGAAATGAGCAGATTTGTTTTTAAAAGACTCTTTCCAAATCTTTAGAAGAGAAGAGAAATAGTTCTCCTAAATAAGGAGGAAGAGCAATAATAAATGTTGCTCCACAGAACCCATGTTATTTTGCCTGCCAGTAGTGAAGACTAAACAGATCCCTTCTAGTCTAAGAAGAAATGAGACTCCTGTGATTTGGGTTTGGGTTTTGGATTTTTTTGGCACAACATATGAAATCTGTTGGCAAAGATACCTAATATGCAAGGTTTGGTGCTTTATCTTTATTTGGCATTTAATGAAAGGGCCATGCTAAATCTGTATAATAGCTAGGCTAATTGACCTGACAGAACAGAGCAGTGCTACTGCTCATCTTTGTATTTGGTAAATGAATATGAATATCATCAGGTGCCATGACAGAAGTTGCAGGCAGTGTGTGGCCAACACATGTTTCAGCTGTGACAGGTCAGAGAGAGTCTCACAAAATTCACGTTGATTTTAAGTTTGTCTGACTGTCTTTATCTGTGCTCCAGGTCTGCCCTTTGCACTGCACCAGCCAGCAGCATCTCCTTTCCTCTTCCTCACTAAGGGGATCTAAGCAGAGAGAAGGAGCCCAGGAGGAAGAGACCTTTGCTCTTCCCCATCCCAGAGACTGCCCAGAGCTCAGCTCTGCAAGTGCCTCCAGCCTTGCCAGGGAGGGGTCAGAGGCACTGCAGGGCCTGATTGTCTACTCTTTCGGGACAGTAAAAGATCCTGAAGAAGCTCCATGTGATTAATTTGTGCTCTTGCATCGATGCCTTTCATGTGTGGAGGAGAATGGGTTGTTCACAGATGAGTAGCCATCTCCTTAGCTGTGGGGCTGTTTCATTTATTGTGTTGTGGGTAATAACATGCCAGTGTTTCTGAAGCTAAACTGCCTCTTTACAGAGAGAATGATTTACAGAAACAGGACACATCGGTCATCTGTGTGCTGCCTGAGTTTCCTGAGCCTCCTTCCCCCAAAACCCTCCCTCCCTGCATCCCACGCAACTTGCTCCAGGCGGCACCCAGGATGCTGCAGGTGACTTTGTCAGAGAAATGAGAGAACCTTCTAACTTGGGCGTGCTCGAGGGATCACTGCAAGCTAATTGCAGCAAATTAATTACAGCACAAACACAATTTATTTCCCTAGGCAGATGTGTCAACAGCTGTGACAGTGCTGCAGCGAGCCAGGCTGAGCTCAGCCCAGTCCCCTCAGTTTGCCTTTCTTCTGCCTGTCCCCTTCGCCAGGACCTGGTGGCCTCTTCATCCAGGAGAGCGACCAAAGGCAGGGAACCTGTCTCTAAGAGAGAAAAATCAACACTTTATGCCCCTCTGGCAGCTTTCAGGTAGAGTGTTTGTCCTGTGATGCAGCAAAGACTCAAAGCAGGAGGATTGTGTGACTGACATGTCCCACAGTACCCAGCCCTGGTGAGGAGATGCCACGTCACATCCCCTGCTCTGTTCTGCTTCAAACTGCAGCAACTAGAGCAGCACAATATTTGCATTTGTAGCCAATATTGTCCTGGTCCAGTCAATCAAGCTTTGGTACCTAAATCCTTTTAATCTCTTGCTTTTCCTAAGTTCATTGGCCTTCAAAGCAAGATGTAAAAAGACAAATCTCCTAGTGGGAAGTCAGTGATCCCTGCAGAAATGCCTCCAGATTGCATGCCCTTCTGTGATGTCGGGACTAGTACAACACCCCAGGCTTAAATGCTGTGTGCAGATTTATTAGAGATCTTTCAAAATGGATGCAGTGCAACCAGTGCATTCCCCAAGATTACTTTATATTGAAGGGTGAAAACATTTGCATATATTTTCTTCATTAAAAACCCCAAAATCACACTCTGCATTTTTCATGCAAAACATCTATACATCACAGTGTTTAACTTTGTCTCTTCTGACCAGATGTTTTCCCAGCTTAAAATTCTGTGTAAGACATTCTGTAAAGAAAGTAAATCTCAGTAATAGTCAGTCTGGTTGTGTCTTGCCACACACACACTTCTAAGCAGCAGTGCTAACTGGAATACCACTGGCACTGGGAGACAGCTGAAATGTGATTATTAACACCAAAACTGTAATCTTTTGGACATGTTTCATTAGAGTTTTGTAGCACATACTAACACAGCTCTTCAGACTCCGGTGCAAATAAATTAGGTGATGTTTCTGAGGCATGACACTAACTTTCTGTAGTGTTTTATGCTCAGACACAATACAGCACAAATAATACATGTTTTTTAATTGCCTTCTCATGCTAAGGCAATAGAGCTCTATGGAAACAGTGTGTAAAGTGACTCTACCCTGACAGATACTACTTAATACAAAGACATTAACCAGGGGAGAAGAATGCTCCCAGTACGTAAGTGGTACTCGCGTTATTAAGTTCCCATTGCATCAACTTAATTAGCAAGTCTTGACCTTTAAAACCACCTTCCATAAGCTTGAAATTATGTATGTGGAAGTCTGCATTCCTCCTTCTGGCTGTGCCAGCAGCTTCCTGCACTTGTGTGGATTTGTTGGAATGCCTCAAGTGTGTGACCAGCTGAAAGCTCCCCCCCCCAGCGAGGATACTGGGAACCTCCCAGCCTGTGGCAGATCTGGTGATAGGGCAGATGAATTTGGTGGTTAAATGTTCAGCATCTCAAGAGAGAGAAAGCAAATCTCCATTAACATAGCAAAGTATTCCCCACCTAAATTACTCCGTTGAGCTCAGTTGCAAGACTTTAGGGTAATTTTTCTAGGCTAATTCCTATGGCCAATTAGGGGTGATGGAGCTGGTCCTGTTGACCTGGTGAGGTTTCTCTCTGCTGAGTGTTGTGTTCTGGCAGTAGCTCAGCAGAGGCTGAGGGCTGCAGGTTGAGGTTTGCTAAAGGCACGGGGCAGAACAAGAGCAGCTGATGCTGAACAGTGACCCTGGACATCTCTCCACGATGATCTTGTCCATTTCCACGTGCCACCATGAGAAGAAGCATGTTTAATGGCATCACTACAGCACTTCATGAGGGCCCCAG